AACTGGTCCTGATGAGGCGTCAGCAGCTGCTGCTGAGGCTCCCATGGTTCCCAGCACACTGCTTCACTGGTTTTACTGGCCTGCTCTATACGAGCTTCATGAGATTCAGGAACCTGTTAGCTGCTTTATGTTCACCCCTACGGGCTTCATCTGCTAAGCATCTCAGACAGAAGTGATGGTACAGGAGATGTTTTGGGCTCCGGGCTCCATCTTTGGGTCTGACCCAGTATACCGGTACAGGTTCAGGAATCAGACCTTGGCTGCTGCTGAAGTTGTACTCAGGTGGTAACGCTGCAGCACTGAGACTCTCCAGGCGCTGCTGCAGGGTCTTCAGGTCTTGGCCCAAATCCGGTCTGTCAGAGGTGAAGAGCCGGTTCTGTTCCACCACTTCGCTGATGCGCTCCAGCAGCTGAGTCACTCTGGAAGAAGAAGGTTTGGAAATAAAACAGGGTCAGAACCTGGTACCCACAGAACGCTGCAGACCTCCCGGGCCTGGTTCTGATTCTGATCAGGTACCAGGAAGCCCGACTGGTTGATCAAAACACAAGGCTATCACACTGCAAAAAATAGAAATCTAAATAAATCATTTTTAACAAAATATGTGCATTTTTATTCAATTTAGGAGGCAAGTGAGACAACTTAGTCTATGGAAGAAGACAATTTACATTTAAAAAAAAAATTGCATTGTCTTTTTTCAAATGCATAATATCTAATTATCTTATTTTAAGAGTAAAAATACAAAATTAATTGGCAAATCATCCTATTCACTTACTCTAATTAAGGGTAAATACACTTAATTTATGATGATTTGCCAAAGGAATTCGTATTTTACTCTTCAAATAAGATAATTAGATAATATGCACTTGAAATAAATTAATGCAACAGTTTTTTTCTTAATTTTAGTGGTAATTGTCTTGTTCCACTGGCAAAGTATCTCACTTACCTCCTCAATTCAAGAAAAAATTCACTTATTTTAAGTAAAAAAATACTTATTTAGATTCCAAATCTTTGCAGGGGCTACCAAGCTACACTACAAAAACATTTGCCATTAATTTGAACATTAAACAAGATGTTCTGCCAGTGGAATGAATATTGCTGCCCTTAAAATAAGGTGAGTAGATATTACACAGTTGTTGCTTTTTTCTTATTTTAAAGATCAATCTTCTTAATGCACTGGTTAATTGTTTTAACTGCTCAAATCAAAGGAGATTCTTCTTTTTCAGGAAAACTGTACTTGTATTTAATAGTTTTCCAAAGTAGGTCAAAAATTTTATCAGAAATATACTAGTAAACTTCACCTAAAGAAGCTCCTTCAGTGACAGACTGCTGCACCCTAAATGCACCAGAGAGCGTTATCACAGATCCTTCCTCCCAGCAGCTGGAAGACTCTAGAACCATCGCTGTTCCCAAAAACCTTAATAAGTTGTTACATTCATGTTGATTTTGCACAGTTTCTACCTTAGTCAGTTTAAAAACATGTTGCTGCTATTTTCAAATATCCATAACTGTAAAAAATGTCCACAGCTTTATATTGGTTATTTATTCTCCAGGTGCACAGTATTGATATTGTTAAAACCCTTTAAAGTACACTATTTTATTGTTTATTTTTTAACTTTTCACTATTATGTTATTCTTATAGATTTTTCTAAGGTCCCTATATGTGTGACTATTTTTTTCTATGTTTTTGCTGCTGTAAAAACCAGAATTTGATTCTATTCTATTCTAAAATAAACCTAAGCTACAGTAACATTCATTTTATTTCCTTTCAAACTAGTGGCCTTTAATCAGACTCTAGTTTCACATGTAACCAAGTACTTCCCTTTATCAGTTCTCATCCTCACTGGAAGTCTGTAGACATATCACCACTAGAGTGAGCTTTACACCACTCATTTCACCTGGTTTTAAGCATGTGGTCGGTAAAACTGGATTTAGAGTGATGAATCATCCAATAACACCCTAATCTGATCTAACAGAGAAGGAAGGTTCTAGCAGGATGTCAGTCTGACCCGTGGAGTTTAGGACCGCCCGGATTGTTTATGCAGGAAAGCCTGCTTCATTTTAATCCAGATCTAGATGTGAATTTATTTACCCTTCCTAGATTGAACGTGTTTAACAGTTGCTCATTTAGTCCTGTGTTTAGCGGCGCTCCGGTGGACTTGTTTGGTTTAAGCTTCTCTCACAGTGAACAATCCCACAAGACGACGGGTGGAAGGAGAAATCAGGTCCCTGCTGACTTGTACTCACGTCGAGTTCTTGTACTGCAGGAATCCAAACTCATCCCTCTGTCCATCAGGGCACAGCGACTGCATGATGGGGATGATGCCTGCCGAGGTGAGTGGCGCCGCGCTGTAAAAGGCTGGATACACAGCAGAGAGAAGACAGACGGATAAAAAGAGGACGGAGGAGAGCTGAAGGAAGAGCTCAGAGCAGACATGGAAGAGGTGACGGAGGAAAGGATCAGTTCATCGCGTCAGAAAGGCTGGATTAGAAGGTCAACACACAAAGATGGCGTCATGTGTTAGAAAGGAGGAGATGGTCAGAGAGGTTCCTGCAGGCCAGAACTTTAACTTGGTTGGACATAAAGAGTCACCAGGAAAGAACCACCTTTCATTTTGCTTCTGGCCAACAGCAACATGTTTCCATGGTGATGGTGAGGCTGACACTTTCTTGTAAACGAGCATCATCGTTCTTCTTCCCACAGAAACACGTTTAACTGTTCATTCTGCCATCTCACCTAGATCTACAAAGAAGGAACAGCTCTGGATATAGAAATACACAAAGCAGACGTCATCTGCAGGCTGAATCAGACATAAAAACTGATTCATGCTTCTTTCAGCATCACAGACTCTGAGATTTTTATTTTAAGGAACCAGCCTCTCATCGTTCATATGCTTCCAGCTGCTCCCACAATTTCCCGGATTCCCTTCCTGACCCGACCGGGATTCAAACCCAGGTCCGTCCACATTACAGCCGGAACCACTTCACCGGTTCCCCAAAAACACCATCTAAACGCCCTTTAGATGGTCCACAGGTCCAGTTCTTCATGAGCTCAGCCGCACGGTTTCTACAGAGCTGGCTTCTGGGGACAGCTGTCCAGTGATCTTTTATGTTTTTCAGATTTCTTTATAAATTTTATTTCTGTTTTCTTCATATCTTTTATATTGTTGTTTTTCCCTTCTGTGGGCGCACTGGAAAAAAATCTAAATCTAGATAAGTCATTTTTCCTTAAAATAAGTGCATTTTATCTTGAATTATGAAGGTAAAAGACATATTTTGCCAACGGAACAAGACAATTTACATTCAAATGAAGAAAACACAATTGCATTGTCTTATTTCAAGCGCATTTTATCTTAATATCTTATTTTAAGAGTAAAAATACTAATTCCATAGGCAAATCATTTCATTTACCTACTCAAATTAAGGGTAAATGCACTTAATTTAAGGCATTTTTACTTATTTCTTGATTGTTTTTCCAGTGCAGGCTTTGCTCTGGGGTGAAGAGCCTATTGGTCATCAAGGAAGTTAGCTACATTTTTATTGCTCCAGACTGGGCGATTGTATTTGGCTTGAAATTAATGTGATCTTTAAAACTCAGTTTGAAACGTTTGCCATTCATAAAACTTAATTTGACAAAGAAAAATTTGAAATAAATTACTTTGAAGATAATAAATCTGAAAAAAAAAAAAATGAAAGAAAAAAATTGGAAAAGTTAGTGTTAGATTTTAGGAGGTTTCATTTCCGGGTTGTTTTATTTTCATTTCCATTACTAAAACCTGCTCTTTTCTTGCAGCAATAACTGAACAACATTCACTCCATCAATCAGTGCAGGAAGGTCTGAGTCAAAGTTCAAAAACATTTTTCACTCCAACCCGGTCATCTAGTGTCAGCAGCTGACTTTAAGAGCTGAAGCTTTCAGCATCCTGTCGGTTCCTCTCTGACCAGCGGGCCGAGGAGTCGGAATAAACACAGGAAGTGACATCAGAGCAGAGAAAGGATCAGGGAAGATAAAGACGAGAAGCTGCTGCAATGAAGGCGCCCACATGGAGCGGGTGATTTAAGGGAGTCCCTAAATCAGAAACAGAACCTCAGAGAACAGACAGGGAACCAAGGCACCGTCCACCATAGGGTGGCAGCTCTAGAGCTGGGCGGGATTATAACCTCCCTTTAAGCCAAGATCGATTCATTCATGATGGAGACATAAAATGGATACGTTCTGTTGGGTTGAAGAGTTTCCTTCTAGTGTTGGGAGCTCTGGGACCATCGTGGAGAACCTCACCGCTCTGCAGGCCTGCACACCGAGCCTTTAACCATCTAAAGCAGGACGTCACTGTGTGGTGAGGAAGGCCACGCTCTGGCACCATCACCATCCAACACCAAGACCCGACAGGAGCCCATCCAGGTTCCCCAATCAGAGCGCCTGGGCCCGCTCATTCAGCATTCAAAGAAACTTCCAAAGCTCATCTTTAAAATTTGGATAAAATCATCAATAACTGAAGAAATAAAAATGCAATAAGTGGAAAGATCTCCCAGCAGAACGACAGCCGCTGTGGAACCAATTCAACTCAAAATCAGTCTGATCCCTTCAAAAGAAGGAAGCAATGTGGGCGGGGCTTGAGGCAGGACCCCTTATTCTTTACTCAAATCGGTGCATTCATGTGGCACACAGTTAATGCTGAATGACCAGGAGCAGATTCAGGGTTAGACAAAGTTTAGTCCACAAGCAGAGAGCCACACATGTTCAGGCGGATGAGGAGGGACTGCATCAACACTTACACACTGGTCCACCCAACGCGTTGAGAACATGCAGCATGCAGAGCGAGTCATGGGAAGACAGAGAAGAACCAAGGAAGAGCGGCAGGCAGAAGGTGGAGGTGAAGTGGAAGAACAAAAACAGGAAAAGGGTGTCAAAATAAAGTGGATGCTACCGTTCAATGGCTGCAAGCAACAGGGGGCGCTCTAAGGGCTCCGAGCCTAGAAGGTCTGATCTAAACTATAGGGTGGATGAAGGACATCAAGCCATGGAAAAAAAACATGCTGAAATAAATCACATCTTCATTAACCAGCAGCAGGTTGCAGCTTAAAAACATGCTGTACCTGCAGGAACACCTGCTGTGTGGAAAACTCAACCTGAGCCATAAAAACCAGCACCAGTGTTCTAATTTTAGACTAAGCTGAAATCCCCCACATTTAATTATTTTAACGAAGAGAGAAGCCCGTTCTATGAGCTGACTGTGGATCAGAACTGACCCAGACCAGAGTCCATCCTCTGATGTCTCCAGTCTCAAAGGTTTCAGAGCTGACATACGGATGGTGGTGGGTCGGCAGCCATTTTTCATTCTTGTTGTATTATTTTATCCACAATTCAGAAGTTGACATACACTAACGGCCACGCCGTTAAGAGGGGGGGCAACGGGGTTCACACACAGTCCCGGTGTTCTGTCAGACCAGCATACCCCGTCAGACCAGCATACCCATAATCAATACCCATTTATCCCCTTTAGTTTTGCATGAAAAATAAACTATATTACCTCAACAGGCATATATCCCTTCTGTCCTGTACAAAAAGACAATTTAACTACTTACTTTTTGTATTATTTTTTTGAATCGTACGGTGATCTGACCTTAAATTGCTTTTTTGTACATGACTAAAGGGATACACGCCCATCGAGGTAGTTTAAAGCCTATTTTTCATAAAAAAAAACTAACAGGGATATATGCAAATCTGACGTCTTGCTCATGCATATTGACTGTAGGTCTGCTGGTCTGACGGAACATCGGCCCGAGAATAAAAGGGAGACAAGAACCAGTTTTTTTACGTAACTTATCATCAATATTTCTTTTCTCACAAAAATGTGTAAATAAAAACTGTAAACAGGCTCCTGATTTAGGTTACAATAAAACGTTTTTCTGTTTTGTTTCTAATTTGCATTAGACTGATGTGACTACCAGGCGCATCCACCGCTCCAACGTCAGGATCAGGCAGGTGCGGTGGTGGAGGTGAATAAACAGACAATGAGAAATATTTTAAACACATTATTTGTTGCTCAATTTAAACATGTCAGACCAGCAGAAATCCAATAAGGATCAATTGTGACTCGAGCAGGTATGAAAAAAGGTTCCACATATTTATTACACTAAAACATGGCCTTATTTCTATTTGTAAATGTGAATATTCCAATGTCACTTGCAATGCATTCATCAAATTAATAGAAATATTTTCTATCCTTAAATAAATAAATAATGAAATTTATCATATGGTTTCGGGCCCATATTCTAATATTTCTTAATGGGCCCAGCCATATATTTATCTATACTTCCATTACAGATAATGGAGTCGGGCCTCTTTCTCAGTGTTTAGTCCTGTTTCTCTCCTATACATGGTTATGGGCTCAGCTTCTACTGTGATTAACTACATGTACTCTCTTTCATCCCTTTTAAATGAAAACTGGTTCATAGCTTGTCTGCTTAACAGTTTCTTTCCTAGACAGAGCCACCTGCAGAGCTAACTTACTGTCATCTTTTCTGACATAGAAAGTATTTACAGATCAGTAAATATATATATATATATATATATATATATATATATATAAAGTTAGAACTGTAAATTTACTGTCATTTTTACTATTTTTCAAGGCTGTACTTGAAAAATAGATGGATAAAATTGTCCAGTGAGCTGTTTCTAAACGAAATTTCTTTTTGTTTTACACTTGTGTAAACAAAATGACAAATAAAATCTGTCTAAAGTCTATGTTTCTTTTTCTATGTCTGCTTCTGTCTCCATTAACCCCAGTGGGCCTCAGCAGATGGCGGCACACACTGAGCCTGGTTCTGTTGGAGGTTACTTCCTGTTCAAAGGGAGTTTTCCTCTCCACTATTGCTGTATGCATGCTTAGTGTGAGGAACTGGCGAATATCTTCTGATAGAAAACTTTTAACGGTAGGAACGGATCTGATTGAACCGTCTCTGTAAAGTGTTGACGTGCTGTGAATTGGTGCTAAAGCAACTGGTAAAACTGATGTTCTGGTATTTGGCAAATGCATTTTCTTTGGAAATTATAGCAGAGATAAAACCGACTGCAGGGAAAGTATGTTTATGGTGTATGTAAACTTCTGATCTCATGGCTATTTTCTAGAGAAGTCAGTGATTCCTCCAGATGTGGTCCAGTCAGAGCTGAGGTGTCTGTCAGACCCTCCCACCCTCAGCTTGTTTTCGTCCAACGTGGAGGAAGGGATCCTTGGGTTCAGGTAAGCTTTCCTGGACAACAAGCTGCTTGTCCTGTTCAAAGGTTTGGTGCGTCTGCAGGAAGGAAGGCTGAGGCGCCTCCTCCTGGTAAAAAATGCAAAGACCCATAAGAACATTTAGCTGCAGCCTCTATCCAGGACCAGCCTACCTTCTTTGACGGGGATCGCTGGTTTCTTCTGCCTCAGACCCAGGAGAATGAAGAAGAGAACCAGTGGGATGAAGATCTCAAATGCCAGCACCCACTGTGGAGGAGAAAAGAGAGGAGATGACAGCTTTACATGGAGCATCTGCTAAGAAGAGGATCAGAGCTAAAAGGACTATCCTGTTCTCAGATACCATTCCTTTATTTTGACTTTTCATTTTGCAGAAATA